TAAGGAAAAGTAACGAAGTTTGAGCAGAGTTACACATATTCAAACGCAAAGTGTAATAACTGCAGGTTGCCTCCCTGTCAGAATGACAAAGGTCCTCAGTGAAGCACAAGCACATTCTCACTACATTGTAAGGACAACTTATTAAAAAGATCAGTTCAATGCAACTAATGCCGTCTTAGTGTTATTGCATGATGTTAACATTTGAAATGTAGCATTTAAGTGTTTCTCAGTTACAATGTTGTTGTTTTAATAAATCAGACTCTGATGGTGCAGCGCTGTACTGTACCTCTTTATATAGGCATTTGTTCCTTAACAAATTGTTTTTGCGCTGATCAGGGGGTACTTGGCTGAATTTTTTTTTCAAAGGGGATACATGATTGAAAAAAGTTTGAGAACCACTGCTCTAGGGCAGGGATCACCAAGGGCCAAAATGTATGCAATAGAGAGGCGAAGTCCCGCCCATCTACTTCCGACCCATGGGACCTTATTTCGGAAAAATTATGTATTGAAGTCAATGGGGAGAGAAAACGTATCTTTCGATCACGTTTGAATTATGCCACGAATTACACATATGATGTTTGTCAATCTTAAAAAATTATTTCCATGTCAAAAAAGTCACAGTTTGTCATAAAACTGTTGAAATATAAGACTATGAAAAATATGCAACTAGAAAGACTACAAATCCCAGAATCCCGTTCCTGCATGCTGGCTCTTACGAACCGACTAACTCCCCTTGTGTGTATGTACAGCTCTCAACATGCCCAGACTTGAAGGGATTTTCACCTCGTTTAATACTTTTCGCCTCATTCTGATAGAAAGAAGTGAAATGTGCTAACGTGACGGCCGTCTTGGTGTGTGGTGTGAGACAGGAGATGTAGTTCATTGAGCAGTTTCACACAAAAAAAAGTTTTACTTGACAGTGTTACGAGACATTTTTTTTACTTGCAAAATTATCTTTTAAATTGACAAACATCATATGTGTAATTCGTGGCACAATTCAAATGGAATCGAAAGATAATCTTTCTCTCCCCATTGACTTCAATACATAATTTTTGCGAAATAAGGTCCCATGGAGCTTCCTCGGAAAGGGAGGGACTTCGCCTCTCTATAAACACTTTCGCGGGCCAGCGATTTTTATATAGCTCAGAATTTTGGGGGTGCTAGTGGAGCACGCTCAGGTAGCCTACTGCGGAGCGTATAAAGCTTAGCAGGCTCTTCACACTAACGAAGGATCACTTCGAGGCTACTGTCCCGCAGCTGCTGCCTCTCTGTTGGACTCCGGTACTGCACATTACTCACGAGACGTTGTAAAAGAAAAAAATAGTGGGGGGCGAATGCACTAACCACTCCGCCAACGCCACAGTCACCCCCGTCGTGCGGGCCGGATGAGAATGTCTGGCGGATGTGGCCCGTGGGACACCAGTTGATGGTCACTGCTCTAGGGTGACAGCTCTCCTTAGAGGTTTAATTAGCGGTGAAATTAGCAAGTAATCTGATAAATTCCTGTGGACATGTGACCTAACCAATGATCCAGGATCAGCAGTTCCTGCACTGGCTGTTAGTCTAACAACTGAAAATTAGATTCCAGAGGGGCCCACACCAAAAATAAGCAGCTTATCTCAGTATATCTTCACTCATGCATTCAAAAGTTACAATATGGAGTTAATCAACCGTTTACATACTTGTATCCAGTTAGGTACCAGCTCATGTGAAATACATTTCAAGTTCCATTGGGCAGCAAGCAAAGGCATTACTGCACTTATCAGCCAATATGAAAATACTCTAGGCTACTTACGACAGTTCTCCTCATCGCTGCTGTCTGAGCAATCGTCATCATCATCACATCTCCACAGGGTCGGGATGCAGCGTCCGTTCTTGCACTGAAACTGCCCGACTTCACACTCTGTCTCCGTAGTAGTCCCTGTGTTGTCAAAAAAGTGGTCAACTACTTATTTGGTTCATTAAATGATACAAATGTGAACATTGACTACATGTGGATGCCAGGTTAACAGAGTATGATATTTAAAAGTACCAACAAATGTATAATAGACACTTATGAATACACATATTTGGGGGGGGAATTAAAAACATTTACAGGAATGAGGCAATGTTTTTATTTTTTAACACCATCCTATTGCAGAGGAAGCTTGACTGTTTACATGGCTGTTTTGTTTGTGAGGTTAACAATGTTCACTTTTCAAATTAGCCTTGGCTTAGAAAGAATACATAGGCTACATGCATTTAATAGAATAAAACCGGTTTTAATTACACCCTTATTGTGGGTTGTAAAGAGGTAAACAGATTTATCTCTAAATCTTTCTCTATAGTTGGGCTTCCTCTGATAAATAATGCTGTAGTGTATAGTTTCGTTTTTCTCAAATCCAGCATTTCCATAAAATGATTTACACTTTCCCTGTCATGATGGTCTTGATTGACTGTATCAATAGGCTTTACGACAATAACAGCTACCAGCAGCGTTCTACTGGCACTTCACCATAAAGATCTCTTTAGGACAATCTATTTCTGCTTTCTTGGCTGCAGCCTTCAGCTAAAAAAACACATAACGCAGATCGCTGCATCCTTTACATTACCACAGGCAGCCTTTGATTACGATAACATCAGCCTACTGCATTCACACACGTGTGTAGGCTACGGATCTTTCCTTCAGCGTATTGTCAACTCATGTCACCAGTGAACGGATTCACCGCGCGGACCAAAGTGCCGATCCAGGTGTGAGCCATTGTATGAATGAGATGAGATGACAGAATATTTTGAAACACATTAACACAACACGCGGTCTACATTAGGAGACGATCCGTTCCTCAGTAAGCAACGATCCCCAAAGCGATGCCACGTCCGTGATGCGATGCAAATCCACCTCCTCGCTGAGACAAGTGTCTTACCTCTAGCGCAATGGAGCTCCATGAGTAACAAATGCAATAGCACAAGCTTTCCGACTTCTGTCCACATCTTTAGATCCTGGGGGGTCTACGGTTGTGTTCATGCGAGTGAAAAGCCACTGAAGGATCCCCAACCTCTCTATCGCTCTGTGTGTTGCTCTCTCTGCTGTGCTCCTTGTGTGTGTGATTGTGTGTGATCAGAGCCAGGCTCAGCGCTTCCTCTGCCTCGGCTGCAGTTTGAATCAGTGACGCTTGTGGGCGGGATGAGGATGGAGCCGGCCTGCGGTTAATGTAGTGGGTAAGTGGGTAGAGAAACTACATCAAAACGGTTAACAAGGGAATTTGTAATACTGCTGAGTCACGTTTAGAAAATCACTCTCAAATGTTTTTATTATTAAATGTTGTTGAGCAGCTACAAATCATTAATTAAGATAAAACAACAACAAACAAAAGCTTTGTTTTAGTTAACGAATATCAATATCTCTTGTATTAATGTCAGGCATTTATGTCGTGACTATATGAATAGAGCCAGAAGGTTCAGCGCCAGATTAAGCCTGTAAACGAAACAGCTAGCCAGCTAAGAGTAGAAATTCACTTAAGGGTCCCATCATATGCTTTTCTGGTTATTACCCGTCCCCTTGTGTGTTATGTAGCTTTTTCTGCATGTAAACAGTCTGCAAAGTCACAAACCCTCAAAGTACACCCTTTAGCGAGTAAAACTCTAACACAGAAAAGACGTGTCTATGCTGCCCCAGAACGCCTCGTTGTAGATTTTTCGTTTTTCATTTTTTTATTCCGGGAAAGGTTGACGTCACTCTAGACCAGGGGTGTCAAACTCAAGGCCCGGGGGCCAAATCCGGCCCGCGACTTCATTTTATGTAGCCCCACAAGAGCTTGCAAAGAATATAATATATTATACGGTTACATGCTACTTTACAGAAGCAAGTTGCCCATAAACGACATGACCCACAATGCATCTCAAATTTGACTTTTTCTCAGGATCTGACTTTTTTTCTTCAACATACAGAATGCATTTTTCTCAGAATTTGACTTTTTTTGTCAAAATATGCCTGTTAGAGCTACACAGTCTTTTGCATATAGTAATTGTAGTTTGTCATTTAATTTGTTTATTATGATTTTGCTCACATTAGAAGTATATATTTGTGGTAATATTCTGTTAAGTTAATAATAATTTGTTTAGTTAATTTCTTTGCTTTATATGTTAGTCTTTATTTGGGTTAATTTATTTCGTGTGATTTTTGGTTTAGACACCTGGGGGTAGTGGTGAGCACAGGTAAGGGTGTATATAGGCAGGAAGTGGCAGACCACCTGTTTTTGCACCTGGGTAATGGGCACATGGTTTTTTACCAGCACGAGAGAGGATTGTTTGTACAAGGAGAAATAATTGTTTGTGACCGAGAAAACAATAAAACCAGCCTCAACGACAGAACCCATGCCTGGAAATTGGTTGACTTTCTACACTGCGTACATTACCTGCCCAGGGTGCCAGAAGTGATCCGTTTGAAGGTTTTAACTTATTTTGAGTTTAAGTTTAGGACAAACGGCCACTACAATGCCCTTTTTCTTAGAATTAGCCTTTTTCTCATGAATAGATTTTTTTTTCAAAATGTCACTTCTTTTTCAAAATGTCACTTCTTGCAATTATTTGCCCTAGACTTCTGCTTTCAGACGTAGTTAATTATGAAGTTATTACCCTATCCGATAATAATCCAATGCAGAGGCAATAATGTAATATATAATACATTATTTTATATATATTCAATATTTATATATCTTTTTATATAGTCTTAAAGTTACAACCGGCCCTTTGAGTGCAACCATAATGCTGATGTGGCCCATGTTGAAATTGAGTTTGACACCCCTGTTCTAGAGACTGTCTCACCTTTTAGTGGAAGACAGATAGAGAGTTCTGTTTCAAGCTGATTTCAACGTTTCACTCTTAGCTAATATGCTAAAAATGTGATTTCATTGATGGCTTAAAACATAATTGTGTTTTCTTTGTTCCCGCAAATGTGTAATCTGAACTGATTCCTCTTTCTGCCCCAGGTTGGGTTTCTTTTTCACCTCTACCCGGATGGGAAAGGCAAAAGAATTAAAAGGGAAGTTACTCCTCCTCTTCATTGCTGCCTTTATCTTCCTCCTCAGCCTCAATGTGACAAAACACAGGACGTACAACGCTTTCCCAAAGCCGCTTTCTGCGTCCAAAATGTGCTCCCTGCAGATCTCTGAGCAGACCCTAACCCCCCTCAACAATACCAAGCACATTCTGGTGTCAGCCTACATGGACCAGAGAGTGAAGGGCTTGGATATACGCATCATCGGCATCTTTAAGATAGACTCCATCCAACCCCTCTACTGTCTTTTCTGCTGTGCAGGGCGGTTGTCAAATGCAACTCCAACAACAATTTTAAAACACAATAACAACTTTGGTTTTCCCTTCGTCACAACAGATGTCATGTGTGGAATTCCTAAGGGCTTCAGTGCTACACATGTCACTCTGTTGATGCAGCCTCACCGTGTTACAGTACCTAACCAGACTTGGCTTCCAATTAGAAACCAGAAGACCGGTAGGGAGGAGGAGCAAAAGTTACAGTTTAACTTCACAGTCTGCATCTCCAACCTGTACGGAGATTACAACAATGTGCTTCAGTTTGCACAGACTCTGGAGATGTACAGGTTAGCAAAGCAACAACACCACAAGCCACTGAAAAAAAAATATATTGTGTGAATGGTGTGACCTTTGCAAAGGTACTGTTGCAGTGTCTCTGGATTGCACCGATGATTCTGGTTAGGTTAGGTTAAAGGGCCAGTTACCTTAAGGTTCAAGG